TGCAAGAGGTTTGGTTGCCTGGGTTTGGATGTGGGATGGAGTTGCTTGATGTATTTATTAGTCACCCTCTCCTCTGCTCTGGGCCAGCATGACCACCCATGGCAGGGATGGTTTAATGCCGACACCCACCTCTGCTAGCACCTCCAGGATGAGTCCCTGCTCTCCCAGCCTACCCTGGCCTCGCTCCTAATCTCTGGCTTTGCTGCAGGGGTGGTGGTGCCTCAGATGGAGGACAGGCAGTGTCACCTCCCACTCTGGGACTCGGCTGTTGTTTGTCCCTAAAGAAAATCCCCTATGGATCTCTGTACCCCTGTGGTGCTGGAAAACCACATTCCCCTCACTCTCCATCCCCAGGAGCAGGTTGGGCTCTGAGCCAGCCAAGCCTGTTCTTCAGGTATGGCTTTGTACTTCCCTCTGAGAAGTATTTCTGCTCCAGATCAAACACACATTGCTGGCAAATTAAACCCAGCCTGTCACTCTCTGTAATTCTCAGCCACAGGCTCTGGCAGGAACTGCTGTCCTCACTCCTCTCTGTGACACCCCACCAGCCCTGGAGAATAAAGGGGGGTTCCAGAGGTCTGACATGCTGGTCTGAGCCCCCAGGGACTGGCTCTAGTAACATGGCTCTGGTGTTTTTAATCTGCATTCACTGAGCAATGTTTGTACTTGCAACTCCAAAACCTTCCAGGAGCCTGGGGGCTTTGTGCTTCCTTTCACAGAGGCTTGTGTTGTCCTGGTTCTGGTGTGCAGCAAGGAAATGGAGGGTCACATGGCTCCTGGAAGCTTGTTTTTGAGCTGTGTGAGGTTCCTGAGTAAATACAGGGATCACCTTTTTCACCCTGCTTGATCCTGCTTTTGACAAGCAGCACCCACAAAGCAGGAGACCCAGCTCATGGTGGGCGATAACCTCCAGAGCTGCTGATTTTATGAGCTCTGTGGGGGCTCTGATCCTGTTCTTGTTCCTTCCTCCTTTGCAGAGTCTCCCTGGGTCTTCCCACATGATGTGTCTGTCCACGCTCACATGTCCTTCCATGGTCGTAGGATCTTCTTTGCTGCTATGTCTGAATCCATAAGTTACTTGGATCACACATCACACCCTTCTTCTGCTGAGCCAGGGGCTCCTGAGGTCCAGTTTTCTCCAGCTTTTAGTTTTATCCAAAGCAAGAGGATTTCCCAGCTTGGAGATGCATGCAGGCTTCCCTGCTATTCCTGGATGACACAAAGCCACCGAATAGTTTGGAAGGCAGCTGAGAATCCACACCTTTGGATTTGGGGAAATAACTTCTGACCTAGCAGGAACCAGGTTCTTCCAGCTGTTTGACCACAGAGTTCACATTTTTCCAGCTCCAAGACACAAAAATCAGTTCCTTGTTCCAATGTCCCAAAGGGTCTGGCTGTCTGGTTCCACACCATGGATGGTGCTTCAAGCAGGTCTGTGTGAAGTGAAATACTGAAGCAGCAGTTCAGTGTCAGCCCTCAGACACTGACAGGGAGGCTGCTAGGAAAGAAGCACCTTGGAAGGGGCTTGGAGCAACCTGGGAGAATAGAAGGTCTCCCTGCCCGTGGCAGGAGGTGGAATGAGATGAGCTTTAAGTTCCCTTCCATCCCAAACCATTCCATAATTTCTATGATTTTAAAGCCCAGTGGGCAACTAATTATTGAGAAGAACAGATCAGTGATACTGAGGGCAAAACTGAGATGTTTCAGTCCCTGCCAGATTGAATCTAGGTGGTGAAGCAGAGTGAGTCTTCTCCTCAACCCAGGAAAACATCACTACTTGGTAGAAAGAAGTGAGGACAATGATGTGGTGAAAGAGCCTTCTCTTTCCTCACTGTCATGTTGAAGGAGTTTGACCCAATCTCATCCCCAGCAGAAGGCAAGTGGCTTTAGAGGGTTCTGATGTTCTGTGAACAAGGTGAGCATCCCAAAGAGGGATCTGCCTTGGATCCTGCACAACTGCACCAGTGAAAAATTTGGTCTGCTCATTGGAAACATGCCTGGTGGGCAGGTTCAACTGGTAGCTTGTTTTTGGTGAGGGAAAGGGTTGGATTAGAGGATGAGCTGGTGGGTGCATGGAGAGCTTGGCTGAAGTAGCTGTTCCCCCTCCGTCAGTAGCACAAGGTCTTCTCCTTCCAGCCAATTCCTTGGCCAGGGCAGCATGGCCACTGTAGGAGGAACTCATTTCAAAGGCTGAGGTACAAGTACAGCCCCAGGAGCCCTGTAAAATGAACCAAACCCTGCTAATGTGGAATGTTCCCTGCCAGGCACTCAGTGTGAACTGTATGGCCCTGACAGAGCATGATGAGTTGAGTCTGAAACCCGTCTCTCCTCCCCTTGTCAACACCACTGTAAATCCCTTCTTCCTGTGCACTCCTCTGCAGGATGAGCAGTTCCTTGCCAAGGCTGGAACCCTGCAGGAAGGAAAACATGGCAGAGAATCCTCAGAAAGAGTCAAGAGTCCCCCGTTTTCTCACCTGCAGCTCATTTTTGTTGCACAGTCTGGAGTCCACAATTTAAAAGCAATGTCAGTGTAAGAAAGCGGGAGACGAACTTATGTCCAAGGGCTGGAGTTTCTCTTCCAGCGGGATAAAACCCTGGGAGATGTTAGTAGTGCTCTCTGAAGGTCAGAGATGACTGGACTTTTAAATTCAGCTTTGTCAGCTTTTACTGTGTCACTTACTACAGCTATTTGAGGCTTGTGCAGTGCTCCCTGCTTGGGAATGATTTCTCCTCTTTCCAGTTGTGCCAGTGGCCCCCCTGTGTGGTTCGTGGACCTGCATACTGGACACTGTTGTTCTGCTCCTTGTTCTAACTGAGCTTATCAGATACAATCCTGTTCCTTGTACGTTAAAAATCACTGCCCAAGGAATTCTTAGAGCACAAGTCTGATGAGGAGTAGCTGGGGGGGCTCAGCCTGGAGAAAAGGAGGCTCAGGGGGACCTTCTTATTCTCCCCAGCTCCCAAACAGGAGGGAGGAACTGGTGGGGGGGGGAGGGGTCAGACTCTGCTCCCAGGGAACAAGAGACAGGGTGAGAGGAAACAGCCCCAAGCTGTGCCAGGGGAGGTTTACATTGGATATTTGGGAAAATTTCTTCCCTGAAAGAGTGGTCAGGCATTGGAACAGTCTACCCAGGGCAGTGGTGGAGTCCCCATCCCTGGAGGGATTTAGAAGCTGTGTGGATGTGGGGACATGGGTTAGTGGTGGGTTGGCAGTGCTGAGGGCCTGTTGGACATCTTAGAGGGCTTTCCCAAGCTAAATGATCCCCGTGGGGAAGTGGCATCCAGCCCGCCAGAAGGGTGGGGTTCACCAGAAGCTGTTTCCCTTTTTACTCGCCACAGCCTTTTGCTTTGCCTTATAGGGGTTACTGACCCCCCCACAACCAGGTACCCAACTCCGTGGTTATGGGGCAACAGGGCAGGGATGTTCCTTCCCACAGACTGGTCAGGTATCTTCCCTGCTGCGTTTTGCTGGCTGGAGACATATTTGTAGGGAAAAGCTGAAGTCAGTGGCTGAAACATCTGCAGCATGGAGGTGTTTGTTATAACAAAGTGAGCGTCACAGGCTGCTGCAGAATAAACTGAGCACAGGAACAGCAGTAAGCGGGTCAGGCACTGCCTGAAAAATGAGGTCAGTGGAACGCTGGACTCACGGGGAGGGTGGGAGAGAAGCAGAGATGTTGGTTTGCTTGAGCTTATCTTTGGTGAGGCTGAAAATCTCCATCTCTTGCCACAGGATGGTGCATGAAAGGCCTTGGTTAACTTTGATAGGGGAAGAAGGTCTCTTCACATCGTGTCCTCCCCCTGAATGTGGCAAATTTGGGGATGGGAGTGAAAAAGGAGAGACGGAAAACCAGGATGCTTCTATTGCTACCCCAAGGCTGATGACACCCAACTGTTCCAGGACAGGCTTAGGAAATTGGGAAGCTGACAGAAAAAATTAGCTCTTTTTACCTGAGCAACACTGATTTTCCCACTGCCCTGGACCTGGTCAGACCCCAGGAGTCCCCCACCGAGGGTCCTGTCTCAAGAGGGTTTGGGTGAGGCGGGAGGACGGTGGTGCCCGTGGAACCTCTTCACGGGTACAAGGCACCCTCTCGTGGTGAGCACCCACGACGGAGCCCGGGCAGGCCCAGGGTCGGGGGATGCCCGGTGAGAGGGACTCGACCCCTTGGCATCACACAGGGGCCCGCAAGCCCTCCCATGGGAAAACCATTCAGGGCACTGGGATGGATTTCTCCAGGCTCAGGACACCCCCAGGTGGGCTCCAAGGCTTCTCACGGGGTCCCCTTGCTCTCCCCACCTGCTTTTACAGAGAGGAAGGTGATAATTTTGACTAAACACTTGTAGCTGCCTCCCATCGGGCAGGATCAACCTGCCCTTCTGCCTCTGACGCGTTTCCCCCCCCGAGAGGAGCCTGCAAAATAAATCAGAACTTTGCATAAACAAAGCTCCGGAGAGGTGTTGAGGGAAAAAAAAAAAAAAAAAAAAAAAAAAAGGAAAAAACAGGAAAAGTTTCTTTTTTCCTTCACAGCCCCCTTAACCCAGGGAGGGATTTCTCTATCTGGACATCCAGTTTCCTCCTCTCACCACCTGGGCGCCAAATCTCAGCTGCTGAAAGGTGCCTCCCCTTCCTCTGGCCCCTTCAGGGGGGCTTTTAATTAAAATCCCAGTGGCTTTCCCGCAGGCTCCATTGGCAGTGCCGTTTCCTTGTCCAGCCCAGTCCTGCAGCCCGGGCTGTGAGCACAGCGGTGGGCTGTGCTCTGGGTGTTCCCACGGGTGGGCAAACACCGTCCCACAGCCCCCAGCCGCGCTGTGGTAGCCAAGCCCTCGCTCCCACCTGCTCCCTGCGCGCTGCTCTTCGCTTCCTGCGTCTTTAAAGTTCCCTCGGCGCACAAAGCAAAAGAGGGAGGAGAAAGAAAGCGTTTCGTCATCGCTCCCCGGAGCCGACTTATAAAAACTTGGCACTCGCGCTGCCTGGCTCACTCACAGCCTCGGAGGGTTTTCGACACAGACCGTGCGGGCGGCGGGACAGGCCGGACAGGGACGGCAGCCCAAGCTCAGCCCAACTATTGGTGGCTCCCCGGGAAGTCCTCACGATGGGAGTTCACCCCGAAGCTGGCAAATCCGCTGTTGACATCCCCCAAAGCTCCAACACCTGCTCCCGGAGTGTCTTCTGCAACATCAAAGTAAGGATGGGAGCCTGGCAGGGATGCGCCGCAGGGAGGGAGGAGGTGCTTGTGCGGGGAGTGACCCCAGCATACACCACGCGTCCCCGTGTCCCCCGTTCGCACCGCCGGTTTGATGATGCAGAATTTGAATGTCATCTCCTGGGGCGGTCCGGGGTAACCCTGTCCTGCTCGGTACATGGGGAGGGCTGAGGGACTCGCTGGGGTTCACAGTGGTACGCGGCATTGCACATGGGTGTTGTACCCCACGGAGCAGCTCTCCGTGAGCTTCCCCACAGCGTCTGATACACTGTGTGCTGCTGCTTAGGGAATGATTAACCACATCCTGGTGTGAAAAGAAAACACTGCCCTAGAATAGCATGGGCTTGCTCTAAAAACTTGGGAGAGCAGAGCTTTTTGAGTGACAGAAGCAAAGGCTTGGTGGGTTGAAATGGGTTTTCTGGCATTGGCTGCCCAGTTACTCACCTGCTGTCGTCGTGGAGCCAGTCCCTGCCTGAGCTCCAGGCTCTTGAGCTCACTGCCTGCGTGAGATAACACGGGTCACCCCCGCCACGTGTCGCGTTTTACACCCTGCCAACCATCCTGATTTTACACCACCCATCACCCTGTCTTTCCACCCCTCCACTTTTTGGCCGTTTCTGGAGGCGCACAGAGGCTGCTGCACGTGCTGGTCCCTGTCCCCGGGGCATTTGCCTGCGCTGGCCAGGATTCCCCTGGTGGGGGGAATTTTCATGCCTTGCTTGGCAACACCTCCACACCTCAGCATCCAGAGCAGCTGGGTGCAGTTTTGGGGAGTGGCAGCTGCTCGTAGGCAGAGCAGCTTTGGGAACACATGAGAGGCAGCCCAAAGGGCAGGACCCCCTTGTGCCAGAGGTGCCAGTGGTGCCCAGGGCTGGGATGTGATTTCCCACCAGTGTTACTGGATCCGAGCCTGTGTGTGATCCAGGGAAGTGCTTGTCAGGGCTTCCCAGCCAAGTATGTTCTCAGGATGTGTGGCCATGGGTAGGGCATTGCAGCTAGGATAGATCTGAGGTTTGTTTGCCATCCATCTTCCCTCACCTTCCATGGAGGATGGTGTTGCCTGCTCCTCCTGGGGCTATACTGGAGCCCCAGAAGTTCTGTGGGGATGCTCTAGGGTACCATGGGGATGTTCCCAACTGGCTCCTTCTGGGACCTGTCAGGAGTGGAGGCATCATCCCAGCTGATGTCTTCCACTCCTACATCCCTGAAGGTCCCCACTGCCCAGGCTGAGCTATTCCAGCAGGTGACTTGCTGGCACTTTTTGGCTGAGGGCTCCAGGAGGAAGAGCTGGAGGTTACCCTGGGTGATTTAGGGCTACCTCTGTGATACACTGATGTGCCTCTGGCGGGGACTGGTGACCTGCTCCCTCCTCTGCTGGAGGTTCAAAAGGTGGCCCTAACCCACTTCGAGCTGCTGCAGTAACAACCATGACTCGGGGTGAGTAAAGCCACCCAAAAACAGAGCCCTTCTTGCAGTTCATGCTCTTTCCTTCAGACAGGCACAGCTCCCCTCAGCTGGCAGCAAGCAAAAAATAGCCTGGAGCTGAGAAAACATTGCCAAGCTCTTTTTCAGGATGTCACACTTCAGGATTAAAAATAAAAAGCCCCAACAAATACTTGTTAACCCATTTGTGCATCCCATGGGCAGCCGCAGGGCTGTGGGTGCCCCAGGAGTAGGGCTGGCTGCTCAGCACCCCACACACTCCAGGGCACTTGGTCAGGGCTGTGTCTCCCAGGGCAATTTGGGCAAGGGCAGATGACTCGGGGGTGTCACTTTTCTGGTGGCAGAAGCTCTGACAGTACCAGGAGGTGCCCAGCTGCCTGTGCCCACCAGCTCCTGCGGCTGGGGGACTCAAGTCTTCCTTCCAAAATTAGGCCAGAAGCCTGGATCACCCACCACTGAGACAGTTTGAGGGTCCTCAGAGGTGATTTCAGAGGGAGAGGTGGTGACCCATGTGGGGAGCATGTGCAGAGTGACCCCACGAGCTGGAGACGCTGGCAGGAACTCCCCACTCCCACGTGCCGTGGTGGCTGCAAGTCCAGCTGCACTGAGGGAAAACCAATATCTGGAAAAAAGCTTTAAAAATGCTTTTTAAACTCTTGTAACTTCTTCCCCTTTCGTCCCCCCCGCCCTTTTCTTTTTAAAGTTTCTGTGTTATAAAGTGCTTCTGGTTTCAAGAGTCAAAAGCCCAAAACGGGCACCGAGCAAGCGCGTGAAGGAACAGTTTGAGCTCTATCCAAACATGTTTGTTGGCATCAGGTGGATGAGTGCACCTTCTGGGATGGTGGGGAGTCAGAACACCCATCCCTTGGAGAAAAATTCATGCTTTTAAGAGCAAATGTATATAAATCGAAAGGCAACAACATCCCCCAATCTCTCCTTACCTGTCCACTCTTCCTGTGCTGAGACATTTATCTTAAAAATATATATACCTTAAGAAAATAACTACTTCTAGGTGGGAAAGCATAGCCTGTGTGGAGTGTCAGTCCTCCCAGCCCCCAAAAAGGAGTAGCAAAGCAAAGTGTCCCAATGGAATTTCCAGGTTTGGGAACTTTTGGAGGGAAAGGAAGGCTTGGAAGGCTATGGTTTAGACTTGGAAGCCTTAATCATGAAGCTCACCACGTGCCAGGATCACTTTCAGGGTGCCTATTGCAGTCCTTGGGCCAAAATAACCAATTATGGTTCTGCACAAACCATCTTGCCCCTTCATGTTCCCTGTGAGGCAGCCCCCTGCTTTGTTTCCCATCTTTCTTGGGGTGTTTTCCAGCACTTGGACCCATTGCCACTGATGCTTGGAGGTGTTGGGGATGCGCATCAGGGAGAGAAAGGTCCTGGTGGAAAGGAGTGGTTTGAGGAGTTCTATGGGGGTTGAAGAGTGGGATGGGGATGGTAGTCATGGAGTTGCTGCTCGGTGTGCAGGAGTGATGCAGCAGCACTTCAGGAGGTAATAAATTCCCTTTGGATGTGGTCCTGGCTCAGATCCGTGTGGTTACAGCTGATCTCTGTTCCCTGCGGGAACCTGTTCCGTGTTGCTGCTGGAAGTTACTCCCGGTCACATGTGGTAATTAATGACTGTGGCAGTGACACCACTTGGGCTCAGTCAGTGTTGATATTCCCGGGCCCTGCCCGGCTCAGCTGGCAGCGTGTCAGTGCCATATTACACCTGGAATGAACCCAGGTAATCTGCTTTCGGTTTGAGTGCCTGGTCTGAGGGGGCAGGACTGCTTCAACCCCTTGAGAAGCTGTTTGCCTTGATTCACCTCGGAGAGAGGGCAGAAGGGAAAAGGCCTTCAGTTTTTAGGGTTGGAAGGTGGCTGCCACGTGCTGTCCCTGGTGAGAAACCTGGAGCATCCTGGTAACGCCCCACTGATGGTGATGTGTGATGATGACACACTTAGATTGGATATTAGGGAGAAATTCTTCCCTGTGAGCGTGGGCACAGGTTGCCCAGAGAAGCTGTGCCTGCCTCGTCCTTGGAGGTGTTCCAGGGCAGGTTGGACAGGGCTTGGAGCAACCTGGGCTAGTGGAAGGTGTCTCTGCCCATGGCAGGGGTTGGAACTAGATGATCTTTAAGATCCTTTCCCACCCAAACCATTCCATGATTTCTATGAGAAGGAAGGATAGCCAGAGCTCCCAGAGTTATGCTAACTGGCTCTCGGTTGTGCTGCTCAGCAGATGCAGAATGAATCCAACCTTCAAGTGGATGCCTGTGCCCAGTGTCACTGGGGACATTGAGGACCTCACAACCCAGAGGAACAAAGCAGGTTTGAAAGGTGGAGAGGTGGATGGTTGGTCTTTTTGATACCCACACATGGTCATGGACCCCATCAATGTCTCCCAGTCCGGAGTCTCAACTGTGTGATTTAAGCCCATGTTTGCCCTGATGATCCTGGAGGTCTTTTCAGCCTTAATGTTTGTATGATTCTGTGTCTGTCTTGCCCTTCCATGCACTGCACTTTCCAGGTATGCACTTGAAAAGGATTATTTCACAGGAGTTCTCTGTTTACAAAGCCTCATATATTTTGGCTTCTTTGCCTTTGCTGTCTGTTTCATGGTTTTGAGCTTTTTTAATTGATTTTGGGATCCCCAGAAACATGACAAGGAGAAGAGCTTTATAAATATCTTGTGATTTAGAGGAGCTGGACTGGTTTCAGCTGGAAGCTGGTGAGTTGGAGAGTGCAGGGGAGCAGCCTGAAAGTGTTGGGAGTGCAGGGGTTTTTTCCATGCCTCTGGACTGCCTGGCATGGAAAAGGAATCAGGAGGATAACAGAGAATTATTCTCACTTATGTGAGCTGGAGACAGTCCAGTAAAGTTTAAAAGCCCTAGGAGGGATTTAAATTAAGTGTTATATCATGGTAGGGAGATGAATGGAATGGAAGAGGGTAGAAGAGGGGACAGCAAGTTCAAGAGGAGACTGTGGGCTCCCAGAATGTGATAAGGCTTTAAAGCATCCCAGAGTGAAGGCACTGGGAGCATGCAGGGAGCAGTGGACAAGGGTGGGGAGTGCTCCTGTCCCTGGGGAGGCTGGATCCCTTCTGCAGAGAAAACAGGAGCCCTGCGTTGGTGTCTGAGGTCCCAGCAGCAGCAGGGCAAGTCCCTTCCTTTGAAGTGACTAAAGGAATTTGCTGAAGAGTGTATTTCAGAAGCCTGGAGGTGGACCAGTTGTGCTCTCATATCCTACTGGAAAAGATTATGAGTTGTTTTGTTTAGCAAGAATGGGAGATTCATCAAGTCATGGGTCTGGAGGCTGTAGGTTTGGAGAGGGAAACACCAAGAGGACAGAGTCACTGTTCATTAGGGATGTTGATTTAAGCAAGAAAATCAAAGCGTATTCCAATACTGGGCACTGTTCAGGGAGAGATGTTGGATTGGAGAAGTGTTTGTAGCAAAGAAACAAGGAAGGTCCTTAGGACAGCTGGGATGGGGTGGGGAAAAGGACCTGTGGTGACTGGGCTTCCAGCATCAGACAGCACGAGTT